CGTGCGACCCGGGAAAACTCTGCCGCTGGGCGTTCGAGGCCAAGGGCCGATCCAGGACGTCTAGCTTGAGCATTCCCAGCTAGTCCAATATGGCTGATCTCCCATGCATCCTCTACTTGGTCGTACTGTGCGCGGTCGGCTATTCTCTGGTACCTGAGGGGGACATCACTCGGGCAACCTGCGATGATCGGATCTGTTCGTCGCGACACTGTTGAGGAGACTCACTCCTCAGGAGGTATGAAGTAGTCGATCACAAGAGACTTCAGCTTGAGCTCTTTGCTCAAGGCTCGGATGGATTCCAGCATATCTTCTCTTTCTCGTTGGAATTCTCTGAAGTAAACATTAGTCGTAGAATCCACTACTGAGTCTACCAAAAGCCTTTTGGCAAAAGGCCTTACCTCTGCAAGTCATCAACCTCCGCACTGGCGTTCTTGTACTTATGCCAGAGTTTCTCAAGCTGGAGACGAGACATCACATATCATCAAGTCATTATTGTCAACGCATGAAACCGCATACGTCACGATAAAACATACGTCCTACTTTGCTCGTCAGTTTGACGACTTGGCCACCCTTGGCTTCGTACTTCTCAGCTAGAAGGAGACGTTCCTCTTCCTGCTCTTTAACCTAGAACACACAATACCACAGGACCGAGTACTCTCGGAGAGCGATCTTCAGGACGCCGAACCTTGGCTCGTATTCGCTCCTCCTCTTCTTTCTTCTTTTGTAGAGCCCTCTTCGCCTTTTTCAATTCCTTTTCCTGGACTGCAGCCTGCTGGATTACCTGAATCCAGTCTGAAACTGTTGGATATCACAAGAGCTCTCTAGAGCTCAGTTCACCAATCGGGCGATTGCGAGTCGCCATGGGCGAGTAGTGCCTCGGTGAGATACTGCGAAATTTGTGCCGAAGGAGGGCGAGGCTAAAGCCAGTCTGGCAGTGTAACTCTCCTGTATACAGTAGAGAAACCAAAAGCGTCACGTAAAAAAAGAGGAAACTTGTCCGGTGCTCGTTTGCACTTCAAGCCTCGACTCGGCACAAGGCTGGAGGATGCTTCACGATGGTCAACAACGACATCAAACAGCTTGATTCAAATGCCATTTAAATTGACGAGCGGCAACGCCTTAGGATCAGCCCGCAGTGGAGCCATTCACCAAAGGGAGAGGCGGAAATTAGTGTACCCGGATGAATATACATCCCAGTTTACTGAAGGACAGAGTGAAGTCGTCTGCATAGGCTACGACCGCGTGTTTCTATGCAGGCCGTGGCTCTCGCGATGATACCCTATAGAGCTTCCAAAAGCGTGTCAGTAGTGATTACGAAGAGTAGAGGGCCCAGAATTGTGCCCTGAGGGAAGCCTTGCTCCTGGCCGCTCGGCGCCGGTCTGTGCCTTGCAGAGCTGCAATTCATTGTTAGTCGGCCTTCACTGTAAGAAAATAGCGTCACCTAGATTTGACCCGGGACCTTTCGAGTGACAATCTGACACCAATGGTGTCACACCATAACCATCTGAGATATTTGAACGGCATAGATGTGTGATAGCGGCACCAAAATTTCTACTGCCTAATATTCTTCTATACGTGAAGTAAAACTTCAACTGTGCTATCTGATTTTGCAGTACTCGGCCGCGAGCTCAGTATACAAGGGCCATCCACCGCCTTGATGAACGTAACTCCATACGCCTCTCCTCAGTAGCAGCCATCACCTTCACGACGAGCAACTGGCCGTCGTTGAGATTAATGTTCACAAAGCTAAAGGAGATATTCTTTTCCGGAATAAACCTGTGAGGCTGCCCGGCTTCACTGCAAACGCGTCATCAGAAGCCTCGGCTCCAGGTGACCCGTTGCATAACCTGTTCGAGCTTTACATCTTGCGACTCGATTCAAGTTACTTGAACATACCGTCACTCACGATTGTGTCAGATCTTGGGCGACTATCGATATGACATCGACATGACATTCATGTCGCGAACCTCATGAAATAGGCTCTATGCAGATAAATCCATGCGAATAGGAGTACAGCAGGTCACC